CTTTGTACAAAGCAGAGCACTAGTTTTCCTCTCACCTGTCATCGACTAGCATCCAAGAAAGGATGAAGACCGGCTTCTGAGAGCATATACTCACACTATGGTAGGACTGGATACGATGTATCTGACCACGATTACGTCTGCACCTGATGTACCTGACTGCAGGTATGTGCAGAGTTCTGTCAAAGAAGTCCTACCGTATTCCCCCGAGTCGAACATCTGGTCATTTTCGTTGGATCTCGATTCTCGACTAAAAGTTGCCCCCCTCAAAAAAGACAGCTGTAATTACCATACAATGTAAATTACTAAATTCTATTCCGTGAAAGACCGTCGTGTGTGAGTATGCCCTGATATTTTCTGGTTTCTGATAGTCCTTTTTTTTTTTTTTTTTTTTTTTTTTTGCCCCCCGGTTACTTATAGTTATTCTGGTTGTCCAATATCTGTTGTGTGTGGTTAGTTGCGGCTACTCCACTCCCAACTTCCAAAGCGATAGCCTTTAGATATCTGTAGGGGTCTGTTTTTAACTTTTTCCTAGCCTTAGATAACGACAATGACACCCCTCAAAAGGGCGTCTAAAAGCAAGCGAGGGATTGGCCTCTATCCTGGGGCAAGGTCCCACTTGCACGGATTAAGAGATTCTGGCCGTTGATCTTTGCTATCTACGGTCAATATCTCTTAATTCGTGCAAGTGGGACCTAGCCCCTGGGCTCACAGACGAGGACTTCTCACTGGTCGCAGTGAACAGTGAAACTGGCCTTTCTTGATTGGAGAGGATTTGGGACTGATTACAGCGATTAGTTGCGCTAACGACCCCCCAACAGGCCAGATGAATTACAGGCTTGCCCTTCTGAAGGGGTCCAGGCCACAATTACTAACACAGTCTCACACTCTGAGGGCCCTTTTCCGATCCGACGTAATGGCGGTCAGGTGCATCCGTGTGTTAGAGCATACTCACAGTCTCACACTAGCACTTTATTTTGTTTTATTTTGTTTTATTTTAATTTTTACTCCTTTTGCCACGCTAATCTTCTCTGTGGAGTCGTATGTGTTCCATTTCACGGCATCCATTTGGGAGAGATGGCCCATCATTGTGTAGCCGGTCCGTATAGCCATATTTGGTTCAACTTCCAGTCCAGATCATTTGATCTAGACTGAAAGTTGCACCAAATACGGCTCTAGTGACCAGGGTAGAGATGGCCCATCATCGTATTACCAATTCGATCAAATTCAAAATGATTTTCAAATTTTCTCATTTTTTTTGCCTCACACCTGATCAAGCTCCAGATGAAACAACAACCAAAAAAAAGGATGGTGTCGAGTCGACATCTTTTTTTTTTTTTTTTTTTTTTTTGGGCCATCCTTTTGGGCCCTTGACATCAGATGGTATCTTGTCGGGTCCAGCTGCCCCCAGTGACCCTTTTCTGATACCCGTGCGAAGGGTCATATAGCCTTCTTAACCTTTCAGCGCGTACTCACACTTGGACTTCCCTGCATGTATATGACTGCTTTTCCGATCCGACGCGGATGCACCTGACCGCCATTACGTCCACAGAGAAGTGGAGAAATTCCTAGTCTGAGTATGCATGCCCTCACTGACTTTTTCTCTCGACTCTTTCTTGCACTTTTTTCTTTCTTTTCCAATTCTTCAGTTATTCTTGCGCATTTCTTTCGCCCAGTAGCAGGCGTAGTGAGGATGGGGCCCCTGTGGGGGGTGGGGGGTGGGGGGTGCGGGGGAGGAAAAAGGAGAAAGGAAAAAGGAAAAAGGAAAAGAAAGAGAAATTATGTTCCGTGTTTAATTCGATAACTTCATCACAGGGAATCAAAATAGATACATGGTTGTATAGACCTCGGCGCAGAGTCTGTTCATAGGGCCCACGCCTTCTGGCCCCCCCCCCCCTCCCCCCCTCATAAAATTAGGTACAGCAAGGTTCTCTTTTTTAGCCTGCTTGAAGAATGCTATTCCAGATTTTAAAATTTAAATTGACTTCTTTCCAGTCTTTGTTTTTTGGACTTTTTTCCCTTCTTTTTTAATCAGGCACAGCAAGGTCCTCTTTCGTAACCTGCTTGAAGTATGCTATTCCTGCTTTTCAATTGACTTCTTAGCAGTTTTTTTTTTTTTTTTTGAGTTAGGCACAGCAAGGTCCTCTTTAGCCCAGCTTTTAAAATGCTTTTTCTGACATTTCCGTACTTTTCTGCTGTAAATTTATATAGATTAGACGGTTCAAATAGGTTAGCAACTCGCCCCCACCCCACCCCCGAGCCCCCCAATAGGTCGAAACTACCTATCTTTTTTTTTTTTTT